CCATTTAAGTAACCAATCGCTGGGTTCATGTCTCGCTCCAAGACCGCTCCAACTACTTGTGCCTCTTACGCCTGCCTTACTGGTCTCTGGAGCTGCCACATGCCCCGCTTCACCAGAAATCTCGCACATTCAACCATATGCTGAAGATGGATGGACAGATGTATTGATAGATGTACAGATAGATGGATATACAGATATACAGATGGATATTGTGATGGTGTCCCACCCCTATATTTCTCCTAACCCAGCTTAAAGAGTGATATTTCCATAAACTGAGCGTTTTCTGATAACCAGGAAACATTTTCATATGTGTGAGAGTGTGGAGCGTTATGAGGTTGGTTGTGAAATTGCCATTTAAGTTTGATTATGCAAGGGGCTTACGCCCTTTTGAGGCACAAGATGGCGCCGAGCCATTAGGTTTCCCGCCAAAGCGTCGCAATGCCTCCCGGCACCTAATTGGCCAGGTAAGGTCACGTGCCGGAAGTGACCAATGACGAGAGCCCTCGGGCGGTGCGACGTCACGAGGCGGAGGGCTTCTGGGGCGGCTGGCGCCAGGGCGGGCAGAGTATGTCATGGACCGTCACAGAGTGAGGACGCTTTCCAGTGAGCTTCAGATCTAGAGGCCAGAGAGCCCCTACCAGTGGATTTAAGCATCGCTTTGATACTGCAGACATCCTGTAGAGTGCCAAGAAGCAAGGATTGGCCGGGCTAGAGAGTCAAGAGCTCTATTATCAAGAGTCTGTAGCAGGGATGAACGTTGGGCTGGAGACGTCTGAGACGCCCAGCGGACCACGTTCTACATATCAAGCGAGTAGCGAAGACCGGGCCGAACCTACTGGAAGTGAGGCACTGGGGAAGCTGTACTGGACTGCAAATTGGATCTACAGTGCCAGTGAGAGGAGGAGGAGGACGACAGCACAGGTACCTGACTCCAGTACCCCGAGGAAGGGTAGTAGGAGGACCGTACCTGCCGGGTGTGAGGACGGCGAGGTTGCGCAGCTACAAGGACGACTGAGGAACTTGTGTGTGTGGGAACTGACAAGCGGAAGACCAGAAGCCAGGACCAGGAACCTCATCATCCCTCGCTAGAGGACGAGTCGGTTTCATAATGGAATGAAGTAAGGTAGATAGTTATCCCTCCCTTTACCCCTCTGATCTAGGCGAGCTAGGATATTCTGTATATCGTGAACATTTCTTGTTATCATTTATTGTCTATGTGATATTGTTACGCTAGGAGCCAAGGAGCTCATGTAGACATGAGTTGGTGGTGGAACATAAATATGTAAATATGCGGTGACGTTAGTGTATCTGGAAGTAGTGGCTGGTTTTCAAGAAGTCAGAAATGAACTTTGAATCGTCCAGCTGACCGTGTTGCCAGAGACGCGAGGTGTGTCCCGCCGTCTGACAGTTGGATCCAGTCAGCTAATCGTGTTGTCAGAGGTGCAAGGTGTGTCCCGCCGTCTGACAGTTGGATCCAGTCAGCTAATCGTGTTGTCAGAGGTGCAAGGTGTGTCCCGCCGTCTGACAGTTGGATCCAGTCAGCTAATCGTGTTGTCAGAGGTGCAAGGTGTGTGCCCGCCGACGGAAGAGTGGAACTAGTCAGCTGACCGTGTTGCTAGATACAGAGCGAGAGGAGTGTTGCTGCCGTCAGACAATTACACCTATATTATGTCGTTATTCAAGTGTATATATTTTCTTCGGTAAACTTTTAATCTTACCAATGTGTTTGAGTGAGCCTCCATTCTCTAGGGCTATTTTGAGTGAAACCATTTATGTCACCTTGCACTGCACACGAGATTGCATTCTTGATTTAAGATAACTAATGAGACCACTGACGTGTTGCTGGGACACGAGTATAAACACCCAGGTGGCGACCTCGAGCAGACCAGATATCTAAGAGAGAATGTCCCAGTGTCAAGACAGGCAGGGTCAGGTGTAATACAGGTAGACTTGAACCTCTCCACTCGCTAGGGGTATATAAAAGGCCAGCCCTTAGTGAACTGGGGAGCCCCAGCGCGAGCAGTGGCGCCTGGTACGGAGAGGTGAAGACCCATGGGAACGGCCCCAGTCATATAAGGTTGGAAGGGGGAGATCCTTAACAATTTACAGATATATAGATGAATATACAGATATATAGATGGATATACAGATATATAGATGGATATACAGATATATAGAGGGATATACAGATATATAAATGGATATATAGACGTATATACAGATATATAGATGGATATGCAGATATATAGATGTCGATATTTTGGTGACATGATGCTAGTATGACGTCGAAATGTTACTCGAGTTACAGCAGTTGTCAAGGATGGTTGTACTGCGTTGATCTCCTGGAAGAAGAGATCAATGGATGGAGATCATCAAGAGATGGAGTTGGAAGATAGAGTTCCACACAGCGTGTTTGTGTGGGAACTCTAATTGTGTGTTCCTTCAAGTGGAAGGAAGTAAGCAGCCGTTTCTGTGTGGAGCCTGCCAGACGACTCCATGTTCTCAAGTCATCAGTGGGGGAAGCTTTGTTAAGCAGTTCTAAAGCAATTTTTGTGGGCGGCCCTGTGTGAGCGCCCCCACATCATAGTTTCTTTAGTAAGCTTGTTTAATCAGTTGTTAGATTAGCTACCAGTGTTTGATCGTGTGCCCAGCAATCATAGTGTACATATGTATATATAGAGTAGAGATTTTATCGAGCCAGTGAGCTAAAATAAGGAGTTAAAGTTAAAAGAACATGCTAGACGGAGGAGTGATACATCCTCTCTCGATGGAGATCTAAGGGCGACTGAGGAGCGGAGGCCCCCAGCATCGGCGGCTGGGGCAAAAGCTCACAGAGGTGTGTCAAGACATGTTTCCAGCTTGGACTCGTCCAGGATGGGGGGGGGAATACCCACCACAGTTGCATGGCGCGGTGCGGCGTCGGAGGGCAAGATTTAATGCTGGGGTATAGGTTTATTTCTTATGTTTTGTTAGGAAAACATTTTTATTGGCATGGTAATAGAATTGCAGGTTTGTGTGGGAGGAAGTTAATGGAGAAACTTCGAGGCTGGATAATACGTGAATGTTGAACTCTGAGGTGGAGCAGATCTCCATAGTGAGGAGTTGAACTTCAAACAGTGTAGGGGAGCTTCACGTTTCTTTGTGGAACCTGTGGAGGAGCGCCACTAATGTTGGCGTAGGACTTCGTTGTGCAGCAAATTGGGAGAACTGCAGAGGTGCCTTTACTGATTTTATAGGACCTAGATATATGCATTAGTAGTGAGCCTCTAGGAGCAGTACAGAGGATCTTGAGGACACATTAATGTATGAGGGGAGTGCTACCATTATTATTGTCATGTAAGACGCAGAGTATGGTGAGAGATGATTTCTTCTTTTGTTGGGGATACTTATGTAGATGTTCCAGGTATTTCAGCCCCAAGCAGAGTTTCAAATACATTAATGGTTGAAGATACATTACAGTTATGCCAGGTATTTCAGCCCCAAGTGGTGAGGGGGGTGGGTGGGGGGGGGATAGTAGGTTGTGACCCACGAATTGTGCAGCTGCCTGATATAGATTAGTTGGTGAAGCCAGGATATGATATTAGAATGCTACTGGGTTGTGGCAGGTTAGAGTATTGCATATAATATTGTATATTATATACAACTCAATATAATATTGTATATTATATATCTTTTATTAAGTACGTTGTGTAGTGTAGTGTAGTGTAGTGTAGTGTAGTGTTACGTTTCTATATATTAATTGTTTTAAATGTTAGCTGGTTTTTGCTCTTGCTCTGGTGAGGTTCCCAGAAAGCGAGAGGGAGAGCGAGGGAGAGAGAGAGAGAGAGAGAGAGAGAGAGAGAGAGAGAGAGAGAGAGAGAGAGAGAGAGAGAGAGAGAGAGAGAGAGAGAGAGAGAGAGAGAGAGAGAGAGAGAGAGAGACAGACAGACAGACAGATAGACAGAGACAGAGACAGAAAGAGAGAGAAAGGGAGAGAAAGAGAGAGAAAGGGAGAGAAAGAGAGAGAAAGGGAGAGAAAGAGAGAGAAAGGGAGAGAAAGAGAAAGAAAGGGAGAGAGAAAGAGAAAGGGAGAGAGAGAGAGAAAGGGAGAGAGAGAGAGAAAGGGAGAGAGAGAGAGAAAGGGAGAGAGAGAGAGAGAGAGAGAGAGAGAGAGAGAGAGAGAGAGAGAGAGAGAGAGAGAGAGAGAGAGAGAGAGAGAGAGAGAGAGAGAGAGAGAGAGAGAGAGAGAGAGAGAGAGAGAGAGAGAGAGAGAGAGAGAGAGAGAAATATAATAACAAGGAAATCACAATTACGGTATTTTGATTCCGTCGTAACAACGCGAAAATCATTTTGGGGTTAATGAAGTGACTTGAACTGGCGAGTTGGTGACTCCCAGACACCTACCTTAACCCTCTCGGCCACATTAGGATACAACCTTATCATCCCGGATTGTCAAGCCTGGTAATCTTTCTGCACCTGGTTTGTCTAGCTTGACAGCCTGTCAGATTGTATAGCTTGACAATTTGTCACGAATAGCAATCAGGCTAGCCTGACAATTTGTCTAGACCCAGTTTGTCTAGCCTGACAATCTATATGATTGTCTGTCTAGGCTTCCAATTTGTCAAGCCTAAAAGCATGTCAAACATGACAGCATGTCCACCTTGAAAGCATGTCAAGCATTACAGCATGTCCAGCCTTGGAGTTTGTCCAGCCTCTCAGCCCTATATTTACAAAGTCCTATTGGTTGATTTATCTAAGGAAATAATGAATTTTAACCTGTGATGTGACGGGTCAACGTTTCCACCAGTCTCTGAACTCTGTCCACACATATTAAGCAAATCCGCACATCCCCCGCTTCGGCGAAATCTTTTCGTTTAATTAGGTGAGTAAATACGGCCTAGACAGTGTACGTTCCAACAGGAGATTCACCGAATCGAGATTCCACTGCATGTAGTTATATTCATCAAATGTATTCTTAAATTTAAGCTCTAAAATATTATTTTGCAGCAAGATTTCCCTACCTGGCTGTGGAGATTCCTTTCTGCTTCTCTGAGCTTTCCATTTAAATCCGCAATGATACTTCGGTTGGTTTCATCCTCCTTCATCAGAGCTGCTATTTTTCGTTCTAGGATATCCTGGAGAGTAAAATAAATTGGACAATATTCGTGGTGTCATTATAGCATGATTTGTGGTTATATATTTAATACATTAAAACAAGAGGCACCTTCAGCCTCACCTGAGTGTTGATCGCTCGACTGCCAGTTTCACTCAACATGTGTGTCAGGTAATCAATTTCCTTCTTGAGGGCAGCAATCCTTGTCGACGCTGTCTCCTCCATTTGCTTGCCAAATTAGTCAATAATGTTATAAATTATTTGAATATATAAATGATTACTTAATATTTTATTCAAACGCATCACATCTAGGATCAATTGATCAATATAATATATATTAGCCTTAGGGCTAATGTATATTTTATTAGGCCTTATATATATATATATATATATATATATATATATATATATATATATATATATATATATATATATATATATATATATATATATATATATATATATATATGTGTCGTACCTAGTAGCCAGAACGCACTTCTCAGCCTACTATGCAAGGCCCGATTTGCCTAATAAGCCAAGTTTTCATGAATTAATTGTTTTTTTCGACTACCTAACCTAACCTAACCTAACTTTTTCGGCTACCTAACCTAACCTAACCTATAAAGATAGGTTAGGTTAGGTTAGGTAGGGTTGGTTAGGTTCGGTCATATATCTAAGTTAATTTTAACTCCAATAAAAAAAATTGATTTCATACATAATGAAATAGGTAGCTTTATCATTTCATAAGAAAAAAATTAGAGAAAATATATTAATTAAGGAAAACTTGGCTTATTAGGCAAATCGGGCCTTGCATAGTAGGCTGAGAAGTGCGTTCTGGCTACTAGGTACCAAAAAGTATATATATATATATATATATATATATATTTTATTAAATATGACCGAAAAAATCGTGGTGTCATTATAGCATGATTTGTGGTTATATATTTAATACATTAAAACAAGAGGCACCTTCAGCCTCACCTGAGTGTTGATCGCTCGACTGCCAGTTTCACTCAACATGTGTGTCAGGTAATCAACTTCCTTCTTGAGGGCAGCAATCCTTGTCGACGCTAACCTAACCTTATATATATATATAAGGCCTATATGAATTTTGGAGAAGTGATTTTTGATTTACCTCCAATAGTGAAGCATAATGTACGAAAGATTGAGAAATTCGTGTTAGAATTATTAATCTTACTTTTTCGGTCATATTTAATAAAATATGTCTACAGGAAAGACTGCTACCAAAATATACTAATATATATATATATATATATATATATATATATATATATATATATATATATATATATATATATATATATATATATATATATATATATATATATATATATATATATATATGACGTACCTAGTAGCCAGAACGCACTTGTCAGCCTACTATGCAAGGCCCGATTTGCCTAATAAGCCAAGTTTTCATGAATTAATTGTTTTTCGACTACCTAACCTACCTAACCTAACCTAACCTAACTTTTTCGGCTACCTAACCTAACCTATAGAGATAGGTTAGGTTAGGTTAGGTAGGGTTGGTTAGGTTCTGTCATATATCTACTTTAATTTTAACTGGAATAAAACAAAATTGACCTCATACATAATGAAATGGGTAGCTTTATCATTTCAAAAGAAAAAAAATTGAGAAAATATATTAATTCAGGAAAACTTGGCTTATTAGGCAAATTGGGCCTTGCATAGTAGGCTGAGAAGTGCGTTCTGGCTACTAGGTACGACATATATATATATATATATATATATATATATATATATATATATATATATATATATATATATATATATGTGTGTGTGTATGTCGTACCTAGTAGCCAGAATGCACTTCTCAGCCTACTATGCAAGGGTCGATTTGCCTAATAAGCCAAGTTTTCATGAATTAATTGTTTTACGACTACCTAACCTACCTAACCTAACCTAACCTAACCTAACTTTTTCGGCTACCTAACCTAACCTATAAAAATAGCTTAGGTTAGGTTAGGTAGGGTTGGTTAGGTTCGGTCATATATCTTCGTTAATTTTAACTCAAATAAACAAAATTTGACCTCATACATAATGAAATGGGTAGCTTTATCATTTCATAAGAAAAAAATTAGAAATATGCATAAATTCAAGAAAACTTGGCTTATTAGGCAAATTGGATCTTGCATAGTATGCCGAGTCCTGCGTTCTGGCTACTAGGCACGATATATATATATATATATATATATATATATATATATATATATATATATATATATATATATATTATTAAATATGACCGAAAAAGTAAGATTAATAATTCTAACACGAATTTTCTCAATCTTTCGTACATTACGCTTCACTGTTGGAGGTAAATCAAAAATCACTTCTCCAAAATTCATTTTTATTTCTAGTCTGACGCGACACGGGCGCGTTTCGTAAAACTTATTACATTTTCAAAGACTTCACAAATACACAACTGATTAGAACTTACGTATCTCTGCTATTATATCTACATTTGAGTGAGGTGGGAGGGGTGATGTGGCATTATACACAAGACAGTGGCATTAACACAAGACAGAACATGAGGGATATTAATAGGGTATTAAAAGTATCAACACAAGACAGAACAGAAACAATGGGTATTGAATAGAAGTGTTTGTAGAAAGCCTATTGGTCCATATTTCTTGATGCTTCTATATTGGAGCGGAGTCTTGAGGTGGGTAGAATATAGTTGTGCAATAATTGGCTGTTGATTGCTGGTGTTGACTTCTTGATGTGTAGTGCCTCGCAAACGTCAAGCCGCCTGCTATCGCTGTATCTATCGATGATTTCTGTGTTGTTTACTAGGATTTCTCTGGCGATGGTTTGGTTATGGGAAGAGATTATATGTTCCTTAATGGAGCCCTGTTGCTTATGCATCGTTAAACGCCTAGAAAGAGATGTTGTTGTCTTGCCTATATACTGGGTTTTTTGGAGCTTACAGTCCCCAAGTGGGCATTTGAAGGCATAGACGACGTTAGTCTCTTTTAAAGCGTTCTGTTTTGTGTCTGGAGAGTTTCTCATGAGTAGGCTGGCCGTTTTTCTGGTTTTATAGTAAATCGTCAGTTGTATCCTCTGATTTTTGTCTGTAGGGATAACGTTTCTATTAACAATATCTTTCAGGACCCTTTCCTCCGTTTTATGAGCTGTGGAAAAGAAGTTCCTGTAAAATAGTCTAATAGGGGGTATAGGTGTTGTGTTAGTTGTCTCTTCAGAGGTTGCATGGCTTTTCACTTTCCTTCTTATGATGTCTTCGATGAAACCATTGGAGAAGCCGTTATTGACTAGAACCTGCCTTACCCTACAGAGTTCTTCGTCGACTTGCTTCCATTCTGAGCTGTGGCTGAGAGCACGGTCGACGTATGCGTTAACAACACTCCTCTTGTACCTGTCAGGGCAGTCGCTGTTGGCATTTAGGCACATTCCTATGTTTGTTTCCTTAGTGTAGACTGCAGTGTGGAAACCTCCGCCCTTTTCCATGACTGTTACATCTAGAAAAGGCAGCTTCCCATCCTTTTCCGTCTCGTAAGTGAAACGCAACACGGAACTCTGCTCAAATGCCTCCTTCAGCTCCTGCAGATGTCTGACATCAGGTACCTGTGTAAAAATGTCGTCAACATACCTGCAGTATATGGCCGGTTTCAAGTTCATGTCGACTAAGACTTTTTGCTCGATGGTACCCATGTAGAAGTTTGCAAACAGGACACCTAGGGGAGAACCCATGGCGACCCCATCTACTTGCTTATACATGTGCCCATCCGGGCTCAAGAAGGGTGCCTCTTTAGTACAAGCTTGGAGTAGTTTCCTCAGAATACTATCTGGCATGTCAAGAGGAGTACAGGCTGGATCACGATACACTCTGTCGGCTATCATTCCGATTGTCTCGTCCACAGGTACGTTGGTAAACAGCGATTCTACGTCCAACGAGGCTCTTATCCCTGTGGCCCGTGTGCCCCGCAGTAAGTCCACAAATTCCTTTGGAGACTTCAGGCTGAAGGCGCAAGGAACATAAGGAGTCAGCAGGCCGTTGAGTCGCTTCGCCAGTCTGTACGTGGGTGTGGGTATCTGGCTAATGATTGGCCGAAGTGGGTTTCCAGGCTTGTGCGTCTTGACATTTCCATACGCATATCCAGGTTTATATTCCCCAATGATCTTTGGCAGGTGGAGTCCGGATTTCTTGGCGTTCACAGTTTCGATCAGTTTGTTGACCTTTGCTTTTAATTCGGCTGTAGTGTCCTTCGTTACCCTTTGGAACTTAGTTTGGTCAGAGAGTATGATGCTCATTTTCGCCAGATATTCGTCTTTTTTAAGAATGACATAACGTAGAATCGCTGTTTACCAACGTACCTGTGGACGAGACAATCGGAATTATAGCCGACAGAGTGTATCGTGATCCAGCCTGTACTCCTCTTGACATGCCAGAAAGTATTCTGAGGAAACTACTCCAAGCTTGTACTAAAGAGGCACCCTTCTTGAGCCCGGATGGGCACATGTATAAGCAAGTAGATGGGGTCGCCATGGGTTCTCCCCTAGGTGTCCTGTTTGCAAACTTCTACATGGGTACCATCGAGCAAAAAGTCTTAGTCGACATGAACTTGAAACCGGCCATATACTGCAGGTATGTTGACGACATTTTTACACAGGTACCTGATGTCAGACATCTGCAGGAGCTGAAGGAGGCATTTGAGCAGAGTTCCGTGCTGCGTTTCACTTACGAGACGGAAAAGGATGGGAAGCTGCCTTTTCTAGATGTAACAGTCATGGAAAAGGGCGGAGGTTTCCACACTGCAGTCTACACTAAGGAAACAAACCTAGGAATGTGCCTAAATGCCAACAGCGACTGCCCTGACAGGTACAAGAGGAGTGTTGTTAACGCATACGTCGACCGTGCTCTCAGCCACAGCTCAGAATGGAAGCAAGTCGACGAAGAACTCTGTAGGGTAAGGCAGGTTCTAGTCAATAACGGCTTCTCCAATGGTTTCATCGAAGACATCATAAGAAGGAAAGTGAAAAGCCATGCAACCTCTGAAGAGACAACTAACACAACACCTATACCCCCTATTAGACTATTTTACAGGAACTTCTTTTCCACAGCTCATAAAACGGAGGAAAGGGTCCTGAAAGATATTGTTAATAGAAACGTTATCCCTACAGACAAAAATCAGAGGATACAACTGACGATTTACTATAAAACCAGA